ATACCACCGCTGTGTCGTCGGCAAACTTAATGATGGTGATGGAGTTGTGCATGCCACGCAGTCGTGGGTGAACAAGGAGTACAGGAGGGGACTAAGCACGCACCCCTGAGGGGCCCCGTGTTGTGGGTCAGCGGGCGGATGTGTTGTTGCCTACGCTCACCACCTGGGGGCGGCCGGTCAGGAAGTCCAGGATCCAGTTGCAGAGGGAAGTGTTTAATCCCAGGGTCCTTAGCTGTGTGATACACTTGGAGGGCACTATGGTATTGAAAGCTGAGCAGTAGTCAATGAACAGCATTCTCACATATGTATTGCTTTTGTCCAGGTGGGAAATGGTAGTGTGGAGTGCAATAGAGATTGTGTCATCTGTGGATCTGTTGGGGCGGTGTGCAAATTGGAGTGGGTCCAGGGTGTATGGGATGATGGTGTTGATGTGAGCCAGCCTTTCAAAGCATTTCATGGCTACATATGTGAGTGCTAAGGGGCGATAGTCATTTAGACAGGTTACCTTGGCATTCTTGGGCACAGAGACTATGGTGGTCTGCTTGAAACATGTAGGTATTACAGACTTCGTCAGGGAGAGGTTGAAAATGTCAGTGAAGACACTTGTCAGCGGAGGCTCTGAGTATGCGTCCTGGTAATCCGTCTGGCCCTGCGGCCTTGTGAATGTTAACCTGTTTAAAGGTCTTACTCACATCGTCTATGGCGAACATGATCACACAGTCGTCCGGGAACAGCTGGTGCTCTCATGCAGGGTCCAGTGTTGCTTGCCTCGATGAAACAATAGAGAAAATGTCATCCAAACCCAGATAACTCTTAATATCCCTGATCTGACTGTATTTACAGTGCAGTGAGGACACTGTCACCCAATGGCTCACCTACTCACTGACTGTTACACATAGCCTGTAGAGGGATGGGACACAGGACTTCCCTGTGCGTTATGTTAATAAAAGCCCCCAACACTCTGAGCATGATTCAGACTTTCTCCCACAAACTCTATGTTCCGTTTATGAGGAGTGTCTGTGAGCTATTACAAGACTGTTTAATCTCTCATTCTTAAATAATCAAGCTCCTTTTCAAACAAATGTGATTGTATCTACCACTCAGCATTATTGAGAGTTTAGAATGATTTGAATATGAAAATAATGATTTGAATATGTTGCCGCAGAGCAGTGGCCAGTTACAGTGGGGGAAAAAAGTATTTAGTCAGCCATCAATTTTGCAAGTTCTCCCACTTAAAAAGATGAGAGAGGCCTGTAATTTTCATCATAGGTACACGTCAGACAAAATGAGAAAAAAATTTACAGAAAATCACATTGTAGGATTTTTAATGAATTTATTTGCAAATTATGGTGGAAAATAAGTATTTGGTCAATAACAAAAGTTTCTCAATACTTTGTTAAATACCCTTTGTTGGCAATGACACAGGTCAAACGTTTTCTGTAAGTCTTCACAAGGTTTTCACACACTGTTGCTGGTATTTTGGCCCATTCCTCCATGCAGATCTCCTCTAGAGCAGTGATGTTTTGGGGCTGTCGCTGGGCAACACAGACTTTCAACTCCCTCCAAAGATTTTCTATGGGGTTGAGATCTGGAGACTGGCTAGGCCACTCCAGGACCTTGAAATGCTTCTTACGAAGCCACTCCTTCGTTGCCCGGGCGGTGTGTTTGGGATCATTGTCATGCTGAAAGACCCAGCCACGTTTCATCTTCAATGCCCTTGCTGATGGAAGGAGGTTTTCACTCAAAATCTCACGATACATGGCCCCATTTATTCTTTCCTTTACACGGATCAGTCGTCCTGGTCCCTTTGCAGAAAAACAGCCCAAAGCATGATGTTTCCACCCCCATGCTTCACAGTAGGTATGGTGTTCTTTGGATGCAACTCAGCATTCTTTGTCCTCCAAACACGACGAGTTGAGTTTTTACCAAAAAGTTATATTTTGGTTTCATCTGACCATATGACATTCTCCCAATCCTCTTCTGGATCATCCAAATGCACTCTAGCAAACTTCAGACGGGCCTGGACATGTACTGGCTTAAGCAGGGGGACACGTCTGGCACTGCAGGATTTGAGTCCCTGGCGGCGTAGTGTGTTACTGATGGTAGGCTTTGTTACTTTGGTCCCAGCTCTCTGCAGGTCATTCACTGGGTCCCCCCGTGTGGTTCTGGGATTTTTGCTCACCGTTCTTGTGATCATTTTGACCCCACGGGGTGAGATCTTGCGTGGAGCCCCAGATCGAGGAAGATTATCAGTGGTCTTGTATGTCTTCCATTTCCTAATATTTGCTCCCACAGTTGATTTCTTCAAACCAAGCTGCTTACCTATTGCAGATTCAGTCTTCCCAGCCTGGTGCAGGTCTACAATTTTGTTTCTGGTGTCCTTTGACAGCTCTTTGGTCTTGGCCATAGTGGAGTTTGGAGTGTGACTGTTTGAGGTTGTGGACAGGTGTCTTTTATACTGATAACAAGTTCAAACAGGTGCCATTAATACAGGTAACGAGTGGAGGACAGAGGAGCCTCTTAAAGAAGAAGTTACAGGTCTGTGAGAGCCAGAAATCTTGCTTGTTTGTAGGTGACCAAATACTTATTTTCCACCATAATTTGCAAATAAATTCATTAAAAATCCTCTCTCATCTTTTTAAGTGGGAGAACTTGCACAATTGGTGGCTGACTAAATACTTTTTTTCCCCACTGTATGTTTGTCTGGCCATACTATTGTTATTGTCATCAGTGATAGTATAGTGGTAGTAGCTTGTAGTATCTTAGTAATAGCCCAGTAGTAGTCAGTGTCCTATAGTGGTGAATTCACAAGCCTACTAAGCCCACACTGTCATATGGACACTTTCAAACAGTTCTATAAAGTAATACAAACAAGGGACAGCATATTAATTAGGTAAGAAACACATAACATTTTGTCTCCCAGGTTCCTCAAATTGGTAAATTATGACCCATGACGTTTTGTCCTCTGCGGTTCCTTTAATGGCTGTGGGTTCCGATCTATCTTCCACTTACAAGTGGTTTAACCGGAACTTTACTAACCAAATACAGACAACGAGGGGCGGTGCCGGATCAATGCCTTATTTGGAGTTTCCACTTTAGCCGCTAACTTGGGACTCAAAGTCAGAGCAAGCCTGTTGATTCACAGAGCGCTTGCAATATTTACATGCGATTAACTCTGGCAATTACTGTCTTTGTAAACCAATGTCGTTGCACGAAAGGGGTTTTAAAGTATAGAACAACCATCAAACCCCTGTGCATTATGTTGAGCAAGCTATTTGTGGCATTATGCACAGTGTGGGGATGAAATTTCTCAGAAAAATATATTTGCAAATAAAGGGAGTACAAGTTCAAGCAGGACTGCTGTACTGTATACAGGTCAACGTCAAGAAGCTAGTGTGGTGCAACAATATGACAAGAGACACACAAGTTGGGGTCATTGAGCCCACTAATCAAAAGTCTGAATTGTAGTGTGCATCCATAAAATCTTTATTTGCCTCCATATTGATATTGTAGGCTATAAAGCCATTATTGTTATTTTACTATCATGTGTAATGATGCAATAGATGTGTAAAACACCCTACATACATTTAAGATGTGAATATAGTATGCATTACTTAAATCACACTAAAACATTTTTAAATGTCAAGAGAAGAGTTGACACAACCTCTCCAGACTTTTGCGCACAGTTGTCTCCCGCGCCAGTATTGTGTATGGATTCAACTGGTTGACTAGGTAAAGGCCGGAATATTTTACTTTTTATCACAGAATGAATAACTGCGATGATTTGGCAAAAGCAGCTTTAGGCATGAATTATGATTCCGATGTCATTTTGACCAGCATGATTTTGACGCGTGTCCAGTTGCGTCTTCTAATATGACAAAGGATAAAAGTGAAATATGTTCTCGAGGACAAGACTAATGCAATACCTCATATCAAACAACATGCTTCATTACAAAGCTATCCCACATACTTGAACATTTTATATTAATGTGAATTCGTCTACAGGTAGCAAAGTAGCCGACTGCACAATGAGGACATCATGATCCGCTTCATAGCAGACCAACACAGGCTTCGCTCCACAGAGTTTATCCGTCGCTTCAGCTTGTCTTTCTGCAACCGACTGTAATGCTGCGTTCATAACCAAGTGGGAAGGTGGTAATTTCCAGTTTTTAAGTCTTACGTACGAGTTGGATGCATTCATGTGCTTTGAACTTGTTGAGAAACGCTGATTAGCTAATGGCAAACCAGCTGCGTCAACCATAAATAAAAGTAGGCTACAGCTATCATGCTCGCACACAAATTAGTGTTCAAAAACCGTACTAATAGATTGCTTTTTATTAATATTTTTTTGTGGTTGCATTTAACTGCCGAAAATGCTGTTGTCGAGGTAATTTCCTTTGTGGGTTATGTCAGATTTCAGCATGTGGGAGAATTCTGAGGTCAGGGATGATAAACGAGTTTCCTACTAGTAGGCCTACTAGTTGGAGGGGCTTTCTAGTGGTTCTTTCCCAGTAATATAGGGTAAATACCACCTTCCCACTAGATTATGAATGCAGCATAATGTTCCACTATGAGGCGCTTCCATTGGTGACGTGTTGTGTACGGGCTGGCTTTGTGTATCCATAAATGGTCATCTACGTCACATAAATGTTCCGTCCCCCTATTTAATACCAGCAAGCGCTGGAGTTCCCTATCCGAGCAATACAGAGCAGCGCTACACTTGTGCGACCACCACCACCGTTTCATTGATTCACAGACTTTAAACACACAACAAGCAAACAAACAGGTCTCATTGTAATGATATTAATAACAATTGCCTGTGACAATTAAGCTCTACTATATCTGAAAGGAGAGATATCAACGCTGTCTCTGAAGGGAACTTGGATACAACATCTAGGATATTTTTCCTCCACTCTCTAACGTTTATAGTTTGTCATCAACTGTGTGTTTTCTATTCGGATACCTACACGTTGTCATTTATGTCAGACTAAATAACTGCTATGACAGGGAAACTAGCGGACAAGCTCCCTCTTATCATGAGCAGTTTAACAAACACGATTCCTGACAGTCTTTACCAAGAAGAGGACATTCCGACGTCTATGAACATTTTCACCAATACGGATTCTATAAACCACTACTCGCAAATGAATACAGGTAAGCATAGTTTACTTTGTTTGTGATGTGATTGGATTATGTTCTATCCAGTCTCTGTTGTAACTACATCGCGTCTCAGCTGTAGAGATAATGCAGGCACCGCAACAGTTGTCTTGGAGCGCACGCAGTGACCATCATCCAGGCACCTGTTTGCGCTTCGGGCTGTTACGCACAGAATCGATCTCGATTGAATACTTTGTTTTTTAAAGCATATTTCACAATGGTTGGATACTATTATTTCGATGACATGTAAAACAAGTGCTGTAACTGTTAGTGTTAACCATATTATGAGAGGCAAGCTTTTATGACAGAAATATGCTTAACCATGTCCAAGCCTATGAGTTTCACTGGCTACTGTCACAATTTCACGACCTGTAATTTGCATGTAAGGTCAAACAGTAATGTAAATAGGTCTAACATTAACTTATCTGCTCTGGTGAAAGCTTACCCAAAATGATTGACATGTCTTTAAAGTGAAAGTAAAACGCACAAATTGACGAAAAGGTCATAGATTAAAAATCGTTCATAGATTAAAATCTAATCACCAAAACTAAAACATTAATTAATGTGGTATGATAGGCCTACATATTTTTTGTTAAATTAAATTGAACCATGATAAAGCCACAGTTTTGTTGATAGTCTATAAATAAATGTGCCACTGTAACCAAAACAACATTGCATACATTGCCTATGCACAAGATATTCATTATTTCTCGCTAACATTACACTAATTAATGAATCATTGTTTGTGTATTTATTGACAATTTAGAAATTGTTTTTGGATTGGACTATGTGTGGCATGGCCATCCACTGTAAAGTGGGCGTTTGACCGGCGTTGATTTTCAAACTTGCCCATGCCCATAGCCTCACGCGTAGGCTGTAGGCCTTATAGCAGGCTTTACGACGATTGGGCTACATATAGCTACAGATCTATGTAGATATTTTATTTGTTTGCTCTCACTGGAATGCAAGTCTCCAGGTGACAGCAACTTTCATTTTGAGAGATGTGTGTCCATTCTGTTTAAATTGAATGCAAGGGTTTGTCAATTCTAAAGTGAAGTTTAGAAGAACCACTTTTATATGATAATTGAAACGACCCTTGATAGCAGCACATACATGTTTTCAGATCAATACGCTTCAGACTCACCAACAGATTTTATTCAACTTTACAGCTGGCAGTAGGCTATATATAGCTGTAGCACATTTCAATTGGACCTCTTGGGCCTGTATATCAATAGGTGAGGAATGACAATTGTATAGTAGCCTACTGAAAGTGTCTCACTCAAAAATGTATATATTTTACATTAAATAATTGTTGTTGGAGTTGTTGTTAGCGGCAAGATAAAGATTAAGGCCTATAAAATCTTTAATAATTAAATATAATACAGTAAAGTAGTCTAATTATTTAACTATACAGAAGTATATAGCCAGCTGAAGTGCCATTATTCATTAGAGGTTAATCAATGTATGGTTTAAATTGTCCTAATATGATCTATATTGATTATTGAATATCTAAGGACATTTGTTATTTGTCAATATGTTAGGCCTATTTATATGCAAAGTAAATAATTAGAAATTGTAGATAACCTTTCAAATGACTGAAAACACAGCACCAACCACTTCTAATTATAATATTGATATAGCTATGTTCTATCATTACACATCCCCATGCCTTAGTCCAGTAGTGTTTGCCAATGCGTTAAAATTACATTTGCTCTGATATAAGTATCACCTCTCCATACTCCAGTGATAACAGCATGCTTTTTATAACTAATCAATACATTTCATGAAAGAGATGGAAAACCTTTACATGTCTCACAATTAGGTTAGCCAGGTGTTTACCAGGTTTGCCAGGTAGCCATCAATATATGATAATGTGACATGTTCATTTCATATAATATCTGAAGTACATATTTGATACCTCTAGAGTCAGGTGTTAGGTCCCTTGTGCAAGTGGTGTTCTCTCACAATATTCACCCCCAAAGCAATAACACCAGCTCACTTGAGAGCAATATCTGTGACACTGCTTAATCGTTCAAATCAAAATATTGAGGAAGATTACAGCAAGATATAATGTCTGCCTTGTATTCATATAGCCTACTGTCTAAAACACAATCCTAAGCATTTGCTATTTTTAGGCTTGTTTTCTTCAACTTCACCTCCAGAATAATTAAAATATATGCCAAAAGGTATTGAATTTACCTCATGTGTTCAATAGTTGTGTGAAAGATATGTAATTTTGGTTTTGTTTGTTTCATCATGCTTTGCCCTTAGCCAAATTCTGGTAAACAGACAGTAATTACTGGGACTGAATATATAAGCACCCTTGTGTATAATTTATTGCAACTTGAATGATGGGCTGATATAGGCTATGTCTGATGATGTATGAATTATTTTAAAATGTCTGCACAAAACATGTTAAAATGTCTGCACAAAACATGTTAAAATGTCTGCACAAAACATGTTAAAATGTCTGCACAAAACTGTGCCATCTCAGAACTGCATTCATTTGGATATTTTTATTGCAGGTGTCTGATATGACATTTAATTGTAATGCTGCCACATATATCTAAGATAGGCTACTACAGTACTAGTAAAATACACACTGACAAAAGTGCAAGAAACAAGAAAGTTACTGTGAACATAACATTTAGCTAGAAGACCAAATGTGCATTTCTATGGCCGATTGTGCATAGCTGACTAAGTGATCTGAGTAGGAAGTACACTTTACAGTTCAAGTTGCTCATTTTGTGTAGATTTCATGTTCTGCTAAAACCCATGCAGATACAATACATGTAAGAGTGCTGGCAGTGGTGTCTGGCTTACACCCTGTTGTGAGGGAATCAGATATTGCCATTCAGTGTGGCTGTCCTCCTGTGGGACATACAATGACTGGATCAAAGGGGTGTTTAGGTCTTGATTTATGAGAGCTTGTGGGATCTGAAAGAGAGAACATTGTCTCAGATGCACAAGTCAGTCGATAAACTTGCAGGTCTGACACCACCGCTCACTTTTTCCTAATGAACTGGATTGGACTGATTTGTTTTATGATTTCTTCTTGGCAGACTATTTGCAGAGATATACAGAGAACCTGAATTTCGGACTAATCGAGTACTCTGACTGAAATATCAAGCAGGTTTATATTTATCATAGTCTAGTATAGTAGCTTCTAGGCTTCGAGAAACTTTTCTGCACTTTGTACTGCACACTTTCACGTATGTTTTTTTTCTAACAGGTTCTGCTTTTAGTTGTATTTCATTTCATGTTATAACAGCTGGGTGAACTATTCATTGACACTCTACTTCAATTTGTTTCCCTTTCATCCAGATAATATCATGGATCTGGGGATGGGAAGTGATAAGGGAAATGCAGAGATCCAGTACGGCTCTAACTTCCAGTCCAGCCGCAGCGGGCAGCCCGTGACCTATCTGGGGAAGTTTGCCTTCGACACTCCTCCATCGGGTGGAATTGGGGGCTCTGGCTGGTGTTCAGACAACAATATAATTAGTTTAGTAAGTGCTGGGATCCTGGGCGTCTCCCCGTCGCCTGGCACTATCACCGCACAGACGTCGTCCTCTGGAGCCAGCATGGGCGGCCAGTCATCAGATACGGAACAGGTCTATTGTCCGCCACTGCCCGCTTATTCCACCTGCAGTGACCTGTACCAGGACCAGGTCTCCTTCCACCACAGCCCTGCCACCAGCACTGCCCTCGGCTACCCCAGCAATGACTACCACACCACCTCCAAGCCCTCCATGGACGGGAGCCTTTTCTCTATGATCCCAGACTATAACATCTTCCATCATCAGGGTGAGGTTGGCATGATGGAGCACAAGCCTTTCCAGTCCATGGACCCCATTCGTGTCAACCCCCCACCCATCACACCACTAGAGACCATTCGAGCATTCAAAGACAAGCAGATTCATCCAGGTTTCATGGGTGGGCAGCAGCATGCTCCTCAGCACCACCAGCCACCACAGACACTAACACTCAAACCCATCCGACCACGGAAGTACCCAAACCGGCCCAGCAAAACCCCTGTGCATGAGCGGCCACATGCCTGCCCAGCAGAAAACTGTGACAGACGCTTCTCCCGTTCAGATGAACTGACACGCCACCTCCGCATCCACACAGGTCTCAAACCCTTCCAGTGCCGCATATGCATGCGCTCCTTTAGCCGAAGCGACCACCTGACTACCCACATCCGCACGCACACGGGCGAGAAGCCCTTCTCCTGTGAGTTCTGTGGACGCAAGTTCGCCCGGAGTGATGAGCGCAAAAGACATGCCAAAGTTCACTTCAAGCAGAAGGACAAGAAGCCGGCCGACAAGGGGAGTGGGGCGGCTGGCAGCCACAGCTCACCCCCCAGTTCCTGCGGTGGCAGTGGGGGGCCCAGCGGTGGCAACATCATGACTGTCACTACTTGTGCTTAGGATGGACCATCACCATGCCCTAACATAAGACTGGGGAGGGAGGGATCCTATCCACAATGAGACAAATAGGTGACTCTTTCTCTCTCTTTTTCTCTTACACTCCATTTCTCTTCATTTTTATTTCCATGTAATATTTCCCTCCTCTATTTGGAGATGTTATCTTGTAAGAGTAGGGGAAGAAGACGACATAGACTGGAGGGCCAGCAACTCTGTGAATGTCTGCAAGCAGAGCGGCATCATGGCACCGGCTGTCCAAGAGGACATGGCATATCTTTGAGAATGAAAGTCAACTTTCTGAAGTCATATCATGTATTGTGCTTTCTGAGAAATTCACCAAGAACCTTGGATGTGAAGGGATTCAAAAAAATAATAATTGGGGTTTAGACTGAATTACAACTGGGCGTAGAATAAGGTGAGCAATGTTTGGGATGTATGCATTTATTTCATCTGGTTGTTTAAAAGTGCAATTGGTTGTATTTGTGTGCTATTGTTGATATCTTATTTGCTGCACTTTCCATTGCCTGTCTTTATGTTGAAAAATACTTTTGTATATATTTTTATTTTTATTTTTTTTATTGTTTCTCAAAAGAATGTGCCAAACGTTTTGGGATAATACTGCTAAGTTTTTTTCTTAATTGTGCCTGGGATTAACCAAACATTACAAAGACATAAACTATGTTTCCGACATTGATTTAAGGCAGATTGGTAACGTTTATTTTTTATTTTTATGTTATTATAATTTTAGCAATTATAAGTATCACAGTTACAACTAAATGGGTCGAAATCTTTTTGCTATAAGCTCAAAACATCAGCATAAAAAAACACACAAATCATTGGCTTTGTCCATCCAAACCTGATCCTGTGTTCAATGGACCAGTCTTTGGCGGTAATCTATTGTCGTCTGATGCACACTAAATGAAATGGATTGCAACATTAATGCTAAATATTTATGAACTGATGAAGAATTTAACATATTCACTACAAATTACACAAATCCATGAAAGAAAGCCTATTAAGATACCCAAGATAAAACAAAAAATATATATTTTAAGTTGAGTGCTTATGTTGCTTTAAAAATTTTTTATTTCAGTCTATCCTCCGAGGACTCCTCTTGGTCACATTTATATGTGTATGTAAGACACACTCAACCAATCTTGAAATGAAATGCTGAGAGCTCAGAGAAAAAGACTGAAACGTTGAAATACCTCCATCTATACTGCAAGTCGACAACATTTCTGAATAACAGCAGACATGAATTAGAGAGCCTTTTATCTGTGCGTTCACTGACAGAGACCTGCCAGTTATATGCATGTAATTAGAGATATTGTAAAATAAAATGTTTTGCATATTGTTACAATGAGCAACACCTCTAAGAACTACTATGGAATCTACATGGTATTGCCATGTTTACACCTCCTACTATTTTGAGAGATTCTGAATTTTAAATGATTGTTATTTTTTGTAAAGTGAGAGATATATACAGGTACTTCAACTTTTGTACTCAGACTGTCAAAGGCACCATATACTTCAGTATTAAATTGTGCATTTGTATGCATGTGTATGTAGACGTACAATATATAAAATCAAATGTATACATACACACATTTCTTATTGACTGAATGCTTGTGCAGAAGGTGTCTTAAAATGCTTCTTGTAAAGTAATGATAATGCAGAACGTTTTGTGAATAGAAGTCATTGCAAAAGACTTTGGAGCATTGACACAGTGCCAAATGGAGTACATTATCTTCCATTTCAAAACAGTCTAATATTATTTGTACCTACTATAGGGTTCTTAGCAGAGGGTGGTTTGAGGAAACACTAATGTGTTCTTCAACTAAATAAACAAAAATCTGAACAAAAATCTTTGTATTTCAATTGCAAACAAACCCGTAATGTATGGGATTCCAAAGTTCAGACAAATATATTGAAAAAGATAAGCCTAGTACACAGTATGCAACATTTTTCACTATCCACATGGATTTGTATTTATCAGTAAGGCAATATCAGTATGCAACATACAGTCTTACAAGTGGCAAGTCTGGCATTGACTGAAGGTTACACTACTTGACTGGCTCTAGATTCAGATAAATACATTTCTCACATTAATCTTGGGTCAAACTGATTCAAAAATGCACTCAAATGTGTGTCAAATCTATAAAATCATTAAACAAGTAGTCAAATAAGTAAAATCATATAATCTTATAATTTCTTTAATGATAACAATGTATAGGTAATAATGTACTACAATTCATTTGAGGGATGTGAATCCAAACTGTTTGGGAATTGATCCACTACATTTGATTGTTGTCTTCACTCTGCTCAATGCTCTAGTCAGCTTTGGTCTTGGCGTGTTTCTCTGATGTCTTTCCCCTTAAAGGGCAGTTATTTTACCCCTCCTGTCCCATCTGGTCCCGTGCGTGATAATTAATGCACCACAGTCAAATGTGTTCTCTGTGTGTTTGATATGGATTACTTATTGTCATAGCAGCTGTGCCTGATAGCAATAACTTTCACAAATCTTGATTGAAAATTTCAACAAATGTCAACAACAAGGATTTATAAATGCATTGCTCACTAATATTACAGAATTCTCCAATGTGCTTCCAAGGCCACATTCCCTCTTTCCTGTGAAACTGGTTTTCATTGCTGGGCTTCCTGGCAAGTGTCCACTTATTTTCCAATGAATTTGGCCCCAGAGAGTCTTTCTCCAGTTCATCTACTGTAAATGGGTAAATGACCAGACCCCTTGCATTGACTGAAAGAGTTGGCGAGTTCACACATACAGTATCATCTCACTTATTATTTAAATCAATGGCTTTATGAAGTGCATTTTAAGACACTTGTATTCCTGGTGACCATTATTATTATTTCCTGTACTTTGCTTGAGCTAGTTCGATGACTGGCAGGATTTTAAAAAGGGTAGATCACTGATCATGAATAGTTAGTAAGTGAATAGTAGTAAGTGGAAAAAGAAAGGCTATAGAAGGGGAATGTAGATGATTACAGTCTATCTATAATGATACTCAAATAACACTGGTCTGCATTGATTTAAAAAAATGTATCAATTGAAGTGGGATTTGCCTTAAGCTAAGTGAAGTGTACAAAACGATTTATGGCTTGGAATATTCAGTTATGGCCTTTAATGTCAAAAGTGTGCGCATAAGCAAGTGTATCCATCTTAACTTCTCTGATTAATTGAGGGGATGAAATTCTCAACAGCTGAGACGGGATTGGCTCACAGGTGGAAAGGGCAAATATAATCTATACTGAACAGAATTATAAATGCAACATGCAACAATTTCAACGATTTTACTGAGTTACAGTTCATATAAGGAAATCAGCCAATTGAAATAAATAAATTAGGCCCTAATCTATGGATTTCACATGACTGGGGAGGGGCGCAGCCATGGGTGGTCCAGCCAATGAGAAGGAGTTTTCCCAACAAAAGGGCTTTATTACAGAAATAAATACTCCTCTGTTTCATCAGCTGTCCGGGGGCTGGTTTCAGACGATCCCGCAGGTGAAGAAGCTGGATGTGGAGGTCCTGGGCTGGCGTGGTTACACTTGGTCTGCGGTTGCGAGGCCGGTTGAACGTACTGCCAAATTCTCTAAAACGACGTTGGAGGTGGCTTATGGTAGAGAAATGAACATTCAATGCTCTGGCAACAGCTCTAGTGGACATTCCTGCAGTCAGCACACCAATTGCACGCTCCCACAAAACATGAGAAATCCGTGGCATTGTGTTGTGTGACAAAACTGCACATTTTAGAGTGGCCTTTTATTGTCCGCAGCACAAGGTGCACCTGTGTAATGATCATGTTGTTCAATCAGCTTCTTGCTATGCCACACCTGTCAGGTGGATGGGTTATCTTGGCAAAGGAGAAATGCTCAGGAACAGGGATGTAAACAAATGTGTGCACAAAAGTGGAGAGGAATAAGCTTTTTGTGTGTATGGGACATTTCTGGGATCTTTTATTTCAGCTTATGAAACATGGGACCAACATTTTACATGTTCCTTTTATATGTTTGTTCAGTGGAACAAGAAATGTCTCTAAGGATTTGGTGTAGACATTATTTGCTGGTTTGGGATATTGTTTCAGCCTCTTCTGGTTTAGAATGATTACTTTTTTAAGGGCACATGGATGATGAGCAACATATCCTCTGACTTATTCTGTACCTTTTCATTCAGCCAACATAGTTCAGCAACAAGGCCTTGCAGTAAGAGTAGAATAACAAAGACAGTTCTCAGAGATCATATGGCTGCCCTGTGGATTTGATGCTCGTATGTGAGGGTTCAAATGTTACGTTTATGGTGAATGAGGTTTGGTTTTAAAGAATACTGTGTTTATCTAGCTCTCAGTGAGAAGAGTGGAAGTTGTGCTCGGAAGAGAGGAGAATACGCTAACATATTTCCATCTGTCACCCAAAGACATGTAATTACAACTGGATGTTGTCATCTGTCATATTTCTGACTAATGCAAATTGCACAGTGTAAAAGCATGGTCTATATTAAGTATAACAATTGTACATTTTTATTTCACATTACTGTTAAATATAAAACCACTGTCAAAAGGTCTGAAAGCAAAAACTGTCCTCATGAATCATGATTCAATAGTGCTTTGTTTGTCCCATATGATCTGAACAGAGAACTTTCAAGACTGTTTTCCGTTTTGTTTTTGTATTTGTCTTGAACTGGTATGATTTTAGAGGATACGTTAAGTGTGTAAGATATTTAAATAAGAGAGCTCCCTTCATATCTTCTCCTCATCATCCTGATAGTTCTCTGCTCAGTCTTGGACTCAAGCCAACCTTAACAGACATGTTTGGGCCAAATTCGGATGCAAGGTTGGGTGATTAGGAACAATATGCGATGAGAACTCCACAAAGGTAACAAAATGTAAATGTGACCTCAGTTAGCTTCCAGCTCAAGGCGGCCCTGTGCTGATGTCTGTGTTTACTCATTCATTTACTCCCTGTAAAGCTGCCTTTGTGCAAGGTCA